ACCGCTGGATCATTAATTTAGGTTCATTTTTAGTGCATCATCTAAATTCACAACTGCTGATAGTTTGAAGCTAAGACCGATTTCTTATCTTGCATCGTATACTTGCATCTCGTTCAAATCACCATTAACTAAAAATACATCTAATTTACTATTCATTGTATAAATAAATATCTGAACATATATTTCTCAACGTATTTCATCGAATCAACAAATTTTCTTTCATTCGTTTGTTCATTTTGGAATAATCTCTTGCAATCATAGTACATCGATTGTGTTCTTTCCACTACACCACAACAGCTGATCATCATCACTTGGTAAGTATTTGATGATAGTACTATAAATCTCCATCTATCTCATTAGAATTTCACTCATTTGCTCTCAGCATTCGCGTTTAACCAGCCTTCTTATTTACTAGTTAGTTGAATTATCACAGTGATAGATGATACGAGTATTTGCAATAACACTTATCGAACAACAAACGCATTGCACCTTTCAGCACTTCCTTCAGATCTGTTCCATTCGCACATTGTCTTCTCTGTGCGAAACTCGAACTTTCTTCATTCTCCACTCAACTTTGTTAACTCATTTGAATTGTATTTTACGCCATTTATTTTCATGGAATTTCCTTGCAATGAAGTTTTATTCCTATGAAAATTGGTTGAAGACATCATGGATTTTTTGAAAAGTTTGTGCAACTCATTCACATTGAAATATTTTTCATGTGTACGCTTAAAGGGCATATCGAAGGTTCATTCGGATGGCCTAGATCACTTTCACTGTAGATATGAAGCGAAATTGTGCTCTTCAATCATTTTCGTTAAGTTTCTCATGAGTGTTCAGCAAAAGTGATCATAAACCTTTCGAATTATTCAAAATTAAATTTCATCAGGTTAAAGGAACTTGTTCGTAGAATTTTGCGTTTTAGACGTATCCATTCTCCGTTTTTTTCAGTTCGCTTATCATAATGACCCTTAAGACCACACACGACGAATCAAATTCATTAATTAGTGTTAAATGTAGCTCATGTTATATTCTTGCTGGAATAGTTCAACGAATTTGGAGAATAGTTTCAAGAAAGAAATAATTCGATGCGTTTAGAGGCAAATAGTTGCAAACTCAATGGGTCAATTTTTCCCAGTTAATTCTCAAATGCAATTCGTTTAGTTCCCCTTCCCCCTGAAACCAATTCAATTTGTAGTATTTTTGTTGTTTTTTCGTTTTCGCTAACCTCACAGTATTTGCATTTTGATCAGTAAGTTTATTGATCAAACAATGCATAATATTATCATTGAAGTTGGTCACTGAACGAAGCTAATGAAATACATTGAATGTCTTGCTTCAATGAGGGTATCATCTAGTGTGTTCTTCTGCACTGCTAAGATGGATATAAGTATTGGAATCATTTGAGCACTTGTTGAATGTCTGCTTTGAAGCATTCCCCATGTTATTCATACGTCAAGCAGATGCATTTGAGAATGCATTTGGGAATTCACAAGTCTGTTCTTTTTGTTTGGGAACTATGGCAACAATATTGTTTGTTCGGATGTTGACAGTATGTTCAGAGATGGTCGGTTCAGTGTTTTCATGTAAACTTTTCGGAAATATCGTGAAAAATGTTTACGGTATGCGATACATCCGTAACTGAAAGGTTTAGAGAGATGCATCAATTATTAAGTGGAGTTTGAAAATACTTGGTGATGATACGCAGTGAAATAAATTTTGAAAAGCGTTTCATAGCAGTGATGCGAATGCAGAAGAATCGTTCGAATGGAGCCACTTAAAATGGGCAAGCATATCGAAATTGCAGCAGCTTACCACACATTGATTGTTGTTGAGCAGCAAAAACTTACGAATAGTTAAGTAACTAACTACCAGTGACTAAAAGTTCGTTGTAAGGAGGCTTGCTTCCCAATCAGCATAACACAACAGTTCCCGAGGGTAGATTCTGTTGCACGCAAACAAGCTGATCACTAACAGACAGACTCATAACTAGTAACTACATTCTCAATCAGCGGCATTGTGTGTTCAAGGCAATCATTAACTTCCAACTGATGCTTTAACTGGTCACGCAAACTTTTATTCCATCTCAGTATAGCTGGTGTCTCATATTAATGAGCCATTCTATTCGTTCGGTGTTTATGCTTTTGTGCCGCCTATCACATCAGTCGCTTCCATATTGAAGCTTCGTGAATCAAATTTATTTCCGCATTTCAATATTCTTTAAATTTTTACCAGTTAAGGAAATCTCAGCAAGTTGTTCTTATAGAACCTACTGCTTTAAATTCTTAACAAAAATGAAGCTTTTGTTATCTATTCATTAATTAGTCTGTTTTGAACTGATTCACCCCTTTTGTCCTGCAATATTTAGATGTTGATTTTAATGTTTTATTTCTCTTTTTTTTTTTCAAATTGGTTTACTGTGAAAACGATGATTTTGATGGGATTTTTTGGAGTATGTAAATGAATAATCAAATTTTTTGTTTAAAGCGAGACAATATAAAAATTGATTAATTCGAGTACTGCCTTCATAAAGAATCCATTCATTTTTGCAGCGATCAGACGAATTGCATCCCTCTAAAATGAACACTCTCTTCGAATCAATTTCTCCTCTGTCCCTTCCTTCCATCCAATTGCTGGTAAGTTAGCACTGGATAGATTAGACAACGAGACTCAAGCACAATTCCGAAATGTGGTGTTGAAAAAGCGTAATTGTTGAAAGAATCGAATAGAAATGTGTTTCTACGTAAGTGGCGTTAACGCGCCTTCAAAAGAGCAACGCTTAGATGTATTGTCGTTAAGAGCAGTATACTGGATTGCGTGATGTCCCACGAGAATTAGTAGTATTCGTATTGATAGTTACTGGTTAGATTTCACGATGCAATCAACAACTTGTTGGATTTGTAAAGAATCGTTCAAGTGAACATCAGCCACCAAACAACTGCATTTCAAACGCCCTATGTTTGCTGTAAAGCTTTATTTGCTTTATCTATGCTCGTTTCTAACTGCTGAGTACTTTTCGCACTTTTCAGTACAATTGTTTTTCAGTTGATTTAAACTGTTTCATATTATATCCTTTTCAACAATTATCTTGATTAATCATTGGTTGATAGAGACACATTTAGATGAATATCTTATCATTGTTTTCACCCTCGTTCAGTGTTATCAAGCATTTTACTCTAGAAAAGTTGTTCTTCCATCCCGCACATCTGTCAGTATCGTTATTTCGCTTATCTTTCATACGTTTAACGATTAGCTGCTGAACAATGGATTAACGTAAGCAAACAATGTTAGGGATATACACGTCAAGAGTTGGTGTGTCAGTGCTGTAAACATTCTGAGTAAAGATCCATAAAATGATGCTTTCTGGAGTAGTGTATCGTTCATATATTATAGTTTGTTGCAACACATCAGCACATATGGCATTAGCATATCGCATGAGTGTAATATGTAATTGGATCAAGTTCGAGTTATTGATCTGTTAGAGGGTTTAACGTTGTTGAGAAGATGGAGTCGGTTGATTTTTAATGGAACGAGAATAGTGTTTTTTTTNTTTTTTTTGTAACATACGTATGAGAACAATGACGTTGCTGTGAGATTGCTTCGTTTTGCGTTATGTCGTTCATTAGCAAGTTCAATGAAGACGATAGTTCATGTAGGATGCATATTTTGTTGTGTTGCCAATTGTCAAACATTCACGACGAGTTTCTCTCTCTCAGTTTTTTGTTGACGAAGAAACAAATTTTCGTCTATTTTTTGTTCATTTAGCTTAAGCGTTTTGTGTTCATCACATTAGTATTCCCATTATTATATTAATTATTAGTGTAATCACTATTACTATTAACGCTTATAATTTAATGCGATATTCGTCATTGATCAAAACAGAACTCTCTCTACTTTAATCAGCCGTTAACTGTTATTGTTTTCGTTAATATAGCTCTCGATCGTAGTGATTTCAATTTGCGTATGGATGCACAACGAACAAGTATCGGTTAACGAAACATATTTTGTATGAGTGAGTGCGATTCATTTGCGTTTTGCAAACGTTTCGTTTAAACTGAAATTTTTGTAATGCACTTTCAATGAACATTGATGGTATTGACTATCGAACGCCTTATTTGTTCGAATATGAGTGCGTAGAAATATGCTCATTTGAACAATCGAATCCGTGCTGATGGACTGTCGTCATTCATCGATGGAATCAGTTCATTTCCATGCTAAGTTGATAATTTCGTGGAACAATTATCTTAAGTTGCATTTGTTCCGATGCATGAATCATAGCAGCGTCCTACCCGTTATTTATTTTCTCCTTTTCTTTCTTCATCTATTTGTTAAATGATCATTTGTAATTAAATGATTCCCAACTTTTCATCCACCTAAATTATTCACCTGTCAATACCTTCCAACATCTTTGTCACAAATTTACATATGCATGCATATATTTTCAATTGCATGACCGATGAGCTGCGATTACTAATCATAATTCTTGTTTTAGATGATTACTAATACCTGTGAAATTTCTTCTTGACAAATTGATGTGAGCGCTAAATTCTCTCTCGTCAACTTCCATAAAAGACCATCAGTGCACAGATGAATGATTTCTCATCCCACTTTCGATTACCAATATATCACCATCTGTTTGCATGTCGCAGTCATAGCTAATTCTTTTTCTTCTGCATTGTTTTTATGCATAAAGCTTCATCAACTTTCATACTCTTAAGTTGGTGATAAAAAAATTGGAACATGAATGTAGAATTTTTCTAAAAAAATATATGCTATTGTCTTCAAAATTTTGTCTGTTTGAGATGGCTGTCACTGTGAGTGCCATTCATTTTGAATACCGTGACAACTTTTAGCACGTCTTGGTTATTTGCTAAATTCTCAAAAAAAAAGATTGTTTTGTTTTGTGTTCTTTTCAGAATCACTCCTTCAAATATCAGTTTTTGAATAATGTATTGATAGGTATCGTGTGCATTGATTATGAATAAAGTTTTATCGACGAAATGAATTGTTTACAGCTGATCTTCGCCGGCGAATACACAAAGGCGATGAATAAGGACTGGCACAGTGATCATTTCTGTTGTTGGCAGTGTGATGGTACGCTAACTGGACAGCGATACATCCTCAGGGATGAACATCCGTACTGTATCAAATGCTATGAGGATGTATTTGCAAACACATGCGATGAATGTGCTAAACCAATCGGTATTGACTCTAAGGTGAACATTATCATTTTATTGCTACTGTGTTGCAGATGTGAGATTCGTCACATTTTTCTGGCTTGTTCCATAACACTTCATTACTCCGTAAATACGTTCAGTTTGGTTTGTGATTCATTTGACTTCAATGCATCGTGATTTAGCACATTGTGAGCAACGATGTCGTTGCATCAAAAGTTATCTATACCACTCCCGTGCTTGTCTCGGCATCGATACAGCATTGTGCTAAATGTAGATCGGTAGAATAAGTGCATGCAAATTTTGATAGATGGTATTGTGCTAGTCTTTCCAGGCAGAGTATACACGCAGATTCATGTCGAAATTGTTCGTACGTCATTGTCTGTAAGGAATTTTTAAACGGAATTGTAACGCTGATTTATCGTACTGGGACATTCCAGCATTATTTATTTTTTGAAGTATATTTTTGTTAACATACATCTGAAATAGTTTGATTTGAAAAGACGCATGTACGTGTAATATTTTGCTGTTAGTAAACATATGAAGTAATCGAGTGAAATTTCAATTGAGCAGTTTTATGAGCTTGTAGGATTTGTCGTACAAAGAGAAGCATTGGCATGAGGATTGCTTTCTCTGCAATATGTGCAAAATATCACTGGTTGACAAGCCTTTTGGTAGTAAGAATGATCGCATATTTTGCTCAAATTGCTATGATCAGGCGTTTGCGACCCGATGTGACGGCTGTAACGAGATCTTTAGAGCTGGTAACCTTTGTTGCATCAAGTTTGCATTTGTAGAAATTTGTTGCTCTGCAAAATAATCCTTCATTCAAAAATCTAAACTTCTTATCGATTTAAACCGATAGGTTTCCAAAACGCGTTATCAAAAAAAAAACGAAAAAAGAGCGGATAAGACTATCACGTGAATTTTTCTTCCAAGATTCTAAATTCTTTTTTGTTGAATGAAAGTTTAGAAATATCTCGAATGTTATGCGAACATCGTTTGTTTAAATGACCGTTCATTGTTGCAGTGTGAAGAAAGAGTTGACTATGACAGATTCTTTTTCTATTTCATTGAATATTTTTTGCTTTAGGAATGAAAAAAATGGAATATAAAGGTAAGCAATGGCATGATAAGTGCTTCTGTTGTGCTCTTTGCAAGACACCGATTGGCACTAAAAGCTTCATTCCGAAGAACGAAGAGGTTTACTGCGCTACATGCTACGAAGAAAAGTTCGCTACGAGATGTTCAAAGTGCAAAAAGGTTCGTTTCAATGACCTCATTCATCTACCCTTCAACTACCCTTCATCCCTCAACCAAATATCCTCGGCTGTTTATCTAAACTCTAAGCCAGCCATCGGCAAGTAGGTTTGACCACGGGCCAAAATTTTCCCGAGCAACTGACTGACGGGCCAACGTGTACTATATATATATATATA